ACTATCTTGAATGTTTTTAGTGTTCAGCTTAATATTGCAGATAGATTGTAACTTCCATCAATGTAATTGTCTGCATCACTTCCAATCCCCCATGTTTTTTATATATACACTCCCCTTTATTACTTTTCAACCCCGCCATCCTTTCCCTACTTGGGGTAAATTAGTGAACAACAATGCTTAGGCCTCTACTTCCAGCTTATACTTACTATCTACATTTTATGGACACAGTCAATTTTACAATAATTCTATTTTATTTGTTTTTGCTCCTGAACTTCTTCTACTCTCAACCTCTCCGATCATTTTCATGATGTCCATCCGGTTTGCTTCTATATGCCATATCTTTCTAACTGTGCTCTTTCCCAAAAGCTCCCAACATACAACCTATATACTTATTATGGACACAGTATGCTTACATTATTAGTTATCTTGTTATTATTTGTTGTTATTTGATATTAGTCCCATCCTCTTAACACCATCCATATAGGATTTCTATTTGCCATATATATTTCAACTGTACTGTGATGTTTTACAAAAGTTCTGAACCTTTCTATTCTCATTGCTTCTACAGATTGTGAATAAAAAATAAACATTTTTTGCTAAAAGTATTATTATATTATTGATCGATTTACTATGACTTTTCAGATCCCCCAGTAATGCTATCTGCAAGGTTAGCTCCAAGTAAATATTGCAATCCTTTAGCCATTCCTGGACCTGTGTCCAAAAACAAGCTACAAATGGACAGAACCAAAACAAATGATCTAATGATTCTGTCTCTTCACAGCAAAATCTGCAGTGCTGGGAAGATTGTATCCACCATATAAATAACATTCTATTGGTAGCAAGAATTTTATATAATAATTTAAATTGAAAGATTCTAATTTTTGAATCCGGTGTCGTTTTGCGTGTCAGTTCATAAACACTATGCCATGCGATCGGTACGTCAAAAATCTCTTCCCAACTATTTTGCAATCTATATGGGACGGCTGTCAATCCTTTGGTCCTTAAATGAAACTGATATACTTTTTTATTTATCACAGTTTTCCTTAACCAATTATGTTCTTTAATGCAAGGCCGATAGACAAGTTCCTTACTTTCTCCCCCTTCCACTTTCCTCTTCCATTTTTGCGGTAAGGCTGCAATTATTTGGTTGTAATTTTGGGTAGAGCAGATATTTCCATATGTTTTTGTTAGCTGCATGTGCGACATAACTCCACCAGTCCTACCGATGATATCATTTACGAAGATTATACCTTTTTTAAACATTTTGTCAAAAAATAAAGTTTTTTTGTCAATTAGTATATTTGAATTTAACCACAATATTTGTTGCATTATTTGTTCTGTCGTTTCTGGAGGATTAAATTGAAATTGCAACCAACTTTCTATAGCTTGTTTTAGAAATAGTGATATTTGGGAGATGATTTCCTTTTCAAATAACTGAAAATGAGTGGTTGTAATCTGAATAAAGGGAAAAAGGCCATTCTTGAACATTGGGTGAGACAATCTTACTAATTTGCTTGAGAACCAGTTCGGATTTAAGTATAACTTTTGTATGACTGAAGCTTTTAGTGATAGGTCTAATGCTTTAATATTTAATAATTTCTGTCCTCCGAATTCATATTCATTATATAAATAGGCCCTTTCAATTTTGTCTGGCTTGCCGTTCCAAATAAAATTGAATATTTTTTTCTCATATAATTTAAAAAACTGTTCGCTAGGCGTAGGCAAGACCATAAGCAAATAGGTAAACTGGGATAATACTAAAGAGTTAATCAGGGTGATTTTTCCACAAATTGACAGGTATTTACCTTTCCATGGTAGCAAGATCTTATCTATTTTTGCTAACTTTCTATTAAAATGTATTGAAGTGAGATCATTTATTTCCTTTGGGATATGTATTCCGAGTATATCCACATCACCATCAGACCATTTTATTGGTAAACTACATGGTAATGTAAAAATTGTACTTTTTAGTGATCCAATACATAATATAGTACATTTGTCATAATTTGGATGTAATCCAGAGAGATTAGAAAAAGTATCTAGATCCTCTATGAGGCTGTGGAGAGATTCTAGTTGTGGATTTAAAAGAAAACATGAATCATCAGCGTACAATGACACCTTTGTTTTTAAGCCCTGGATTTCTAATCCTCTGATATTATTATTGGATCTGATTTTAATAGCTAACATCTCGATGGCCACAATAAATAGATATGCCGATAGTGGACAACCTTGTTTCACTCCTCTTGACAGTTTAAAACTTTCGGAGAAATAGCCATTATTTACTATTTTACACCTAGGGTTACTATACATGATTTTGACCCATTTTATAAGAGATTCTCCAAAATTGAAATGCTCCAGGCATTTATATATAAACCCCAGTCGTACTTTATCAAATGCCTTTTCGAAGTCTGCTATGAATAGCAGGCCTGGTTTCCCATATTTTCCATAGTGTTCTATTGTTTCCAATACTTGCCTTATATTATCTCCAATGTACAGTGGGGGAAAAAAGTATTTAGTCAGCCACCAATTGTGCAAGTTCTCCCACTTAAAAAGATGAGAGAGGCCTGTAATTTTCATCATAGGTACACGTCAACTATGACAGACAAAATGAGAAAAAAGAATCCAGAAAATCACATTGTAGGATTTTTTATGAATTTATTTGCAAATTATGGTGGAAAATAAGTATTTGGTCAATAACAAAAGTTTCTCAATACTTTGTTATATACCCTTTGTTGGCAATGACACAGGTCAAACGTTTTCTGTAAGTCTTCACAAGGTTTTCACACACTGTTGCTGGTATTTTGGCCCATTCCTCCATGCAGATCTCCTCTAGAGCAGTGATGTTTTGGGGCTGTCGCTGGGCAACACAGACTTTCAACTCCCTCCAAAGATTTTCTATGGGGTTGAGATCTGGAGACTGGCTAGGCCACTCCAGGACCTTGAAATGCTTCTTACGAAGCCACTCCTTCGTTGCCCGGGCGGTGTGTTTGGGATCATTGTCATGCTGAAAGACGCAGCCACGTTTCATCTTCAATGCCCTTGCTGATGGAAGGAGGTTTTCACTAAAAATCTCACGATACATGGCCCCATTCATTCTTTCCTTTACACGGATCAGTCGTCCTGGTCCCTTTGCAGAAAAACAGCCCCAAAGCATGATGTTTCCACCCCCATGCTTCACAGTAGGTATGGTGTTCTTTGGATGCAACTCAGCATTCTTTGTCCTCCAAACACGACGAGTTGAGTTTTTACCAAAAAGTTATATTTTGGTTTCATCTGACCATATGACATTCTCCCAATCCTCTTCTGGATCATCCAAATGCACTCTAGCAAACTTCAGACGGGCCTGGACATGTACTGGCTTAAGCAGGGGGACACGTCTGGCACTGCAGGATTTGAGTCCCTGGCGGCGTAGTGTGTGACTGATGGTAGGCTTTGTTACTTTGGTCCCAGCTCTCTGCAGGTCATTCACTAGGTCCCCCCATGTGGTTCTGGGATTTTTGCTCACCGTTCTTGTGATCATTTTGACCCCCCCGGGTGAGATCTTGCGTGGAGCCCCAGATCGAGGGAGATTATCCATTTCCTAATAATTGCTCCCACAGTTGATTTCTTCAAACCAAGCTGCTTACCTATTGCAGATTCAGTCTTCCCAGCCTGGTGCAGGTCTACAATTTTGTTTCTGGTGTCCTTTGACAGCTCTTTGGTCTTGGCCATAGTGGAGTTTGGAGTGTGACTGTTTGAGGTTGTGGACAGGTGTCTTTTATACTGATAACAAGTTCAAACAGGTGCCATTAATACAGGTAACGAGTGGAGGACAGAGGAGCCTCTTAAAGAAGAAGTTACAGGTCTGTGAGAGCCAGAAATCTTGCTTGTTTGTAGGTGACCAAATACTTATTTTCCACCATCATTTGCAAATAAATTCATTAAAAATCCTACAATGTGATTTTCTGGATTCTGGATTCATAGTTGACGTGTACCTATGATGAAAATTACAGGCCTCTCTCATCTTTTTAAGTGGGAGAACTTGCACAATTGGTGGCTGACTAAATACTTTTTTCCCCACTGTATCTTCCATGTAAAAAACCTGTCTGATTAGAATGAATAATATCCGACAATACCTTTTTAATTCTATGCGCTATACATTTTGCTAGAATTTTTGCATCACAACACTGAAGTGTAAGGGGCCCCACATTTTTTAAATGGACTGGATCTTTATATTTTTCACTTGTATCCTGTTTCAGTAATAATGAGATCTTCTTCTTGAGTGTCAGATAATCTACCATTTACATAAGAGTGATTAAAACATGCTAATAACGGTCCTCTTAGTATATCAAAAAAGGTTTGGTATACCTCGACTGGTATGCCATCCAACCCTGGAGTTTTCCTGGAATTAAAGTCTTTAATTGCATCCAGAAGTTCCTCCTCTGTAATTTCACCTTCACATGAGTCTGTATGGCTGTTAATTTTACATTATCAATAGAAAAAAATCTCTACAATTAGCTTCAGTTAGAGGAGATGGAGGCGACTGAAAAGAAAACATATGCTTAAAGTACTTTGTTTCCTCCTTCAAAATATCATTTGGTGAATCATGGGTGACTCCGTCAATTGTAACCAGTTTCATTAAATTATTTTTGGTAGCATTCCTATGTTGAAGATTAAAAAATAATTTTGTGCATTTTTCCCCATATTCCATCCAGTTTGCGTTCTTTTTATAATATATTACACTTGATTACATTTCTTAAAAAGGTTCTCCATTTCTTTTTGTTTTTCCTCTAATTTATTCTGAGCCTCTATGTTACAGTTTTTATTGCCATCTATCTGTTCTGTTAGACTTTCTATTTCCTTTGTTAGTATAAACTCTTTTGACCTAAATTGCTTTTGTTTTCGAGATGAGTACTGACACATTTAGCTGCCATCGCAGAATCAATATCACAACTACCAAGGAGGAGAGTGAGGGAGAACACAACACAGCTCACAGCCTTGACTCAAAGTGTTAACTCACCATCATCCAGAATGACAAGGAGGGGAGCCAGCAGGTCACACATGCCCTGCACATAGCCAATTTCCAGGTGCTGCCAGATATAGCTGCGAAGAGAAGTCAGCATCATGTACTGTATAGTGTGACTCATTCATTCTTCCAATTTTCCAATTATTCATTGCGCTCCACACATAACATAATGAGTCCTAGATTATTTACAAACCTTTCTACAAAAGAGGAGTAGAGAATCATGAATTGCATTGTTTTTATTTTACCTGCACATGATGTTGCGCAGTTTCTCCAGGTTGTTAGGGCTAAAGTACCAGTAGTTTCTGTCACATCGCTGGACATCCTTCTCAATGCGGTGCAGGTTGATCGTGTACATGTCCAAAAGCTCCTGCTACAACAAAGGTGCAAAACCCCCACACACATGTTAAAGAATAACTTACTTGTAGCTGTAAAACCAAACACCTAAATACATCTCGATTATTCAAAACATATATTCTATAAAATGAAATGCCAAGTGCCTACAGAGTATGTGGTTCCAATGGATGACACTGGAGAGATTTTCAGCTCTCCTCCCACAGTCAGGAAGTCAAATTTGGGGAAGAGGCTCTCCATCTCAGACTCCTCAGACATGATGGACTCTGTGCCCTCAGGGCTGGGCTTGCCCTTCTCCTCCTCCTCCTCCTCCTCCTCCTCCTCCTCCAAACAGAGCTCCAGATGGTAAACTGAGCCCTCAGAGAGAGCAGCCCCGACCACAGAGCTCTCACACAGGCCCTTCCTGTCCCATGGTAGGGCCATGGAGATTTTAGCCGAGGATATCTCCTCTGTCTCAATGGCCGAAGGAGACTCGTCAGATTCTGTGGTGGCCAGAGCCTCCTCGTGCCTGGAGGTGCTACCCAGTGCTTCCATTGCTCTTGCCACCCTGGTCTCTGCAACAGGGCTTTTATTCTTCTCTGACTCTGGCAGCTTGGCCTCAGATAGTATGGCCTCCTCTCTTTTTCCCACTGCCTTTTTTATCTCCTCCACTTTTGCCTCTGCAACCTCTTCCAGTGACACTGTCTTATACACCTTTGTTTCGGCTACCTCTTCAGATTTTAAAGTCTGATTGGCTTCTACTTCCTTCTCAGTTTCTGTCTTTTCAATAGTTGTTTCATCGGTTTCCTTTACTTCTGTTGTTTCAGCACTCTTTGTTTCTCCAGCCTCAGTTTCTGAAAATCGCTCATCTTCCTGTTCTGATGTCGTGTCCTCCGTTGCTTCTGCAGTCACCGTTGATATCAATGTATTCTCCCTTTTTGGCTCTCTATGGTTTGTTTGGGATGTCTTATTCTCTTCTGGATCTCCAGACTCTGGTTCTGGTCCTTTGTTCTCCCTTGTTTCTCCTGACTCCCCAGGTTCCAGTGACTGCATCTCCTCTGTGTGTACTTGCATGGTTGGCTCTCCATCCAACATTTTCATCACTTCTGCCTCAGGCTCTTTAGCCTCCCTTGTTTTGGAGTCATCTGTTTTGGACTCCACTGTTTCTTTCACAGCATCCACTTCTGCTTTCGGTAACTCCTTTTCAGAGGTCCTTACCTCATCTTTCTCATTAGATAGAGTCACGGAGGTCTTCTTTTCCTCTATTTTCAGGCTCTCTAGCTCACCTGGGTCTGCTGCCTTGTCCTCCCCTGTCTCTGTATTTATTTCCATTTCCACCTCTGGCACTTCTGTCTCGGTGCCCTCAGTCTCTCGGGCCACTTTAGTCACACTCTTTTCCTTCTCTTTTTCCTCCTTATCTGGCGGGTCCTTGGCCTGGAGGTCCTCCTCCTGCAGGGCCAGGGGTTGGGCATTTGGGTAATCTGCCTCCGACTCTTCCTGATGGGCTTTGACTGGGATCTGTTGGGCTGGGGCCAGCTGTGGAGGAGCACTGATGGTGGTTTTGGGGTTGGTGTCAGGCACAGTGCTGTCCTCTGTGCTCAGAGAGCGGTCTGACATGCCCGAGGTGACAGAGAAGTTGCGAGAGGAGGGGTGCCCCGAGTCTGGGGAGCTGGTCACGTTGGGCAGGCCTCCTCCATTGGGGATCTTGGGAACCGGCTTGGCCTCCTCGCTCTTGGGCTCCGTCTCTATCTGGTCCACCTCCTCCACAGACTCAAACACCTGAAAGAACAAGCCAAAGGGAAGCAGGCTAGTCCAAGGGAAGGGATGGGAGGATGTGAAGAACTAGCAGGAGAGAGAGTGTGGGGTTGAATAATATTGGTTCAAAAAAGCAAAAGATAACTTTAGACATAATATAGAAATATCCATATAACTGTAAAAGACTAAAGTAATTTAATAGTTTTGGAACAATAGGAATCGTACAGTTATAATATGAAAGGTGTTTTTGGTATGAATATGACAAAAACTGTCATGGAACTATTTTTAGCTTTTGGAGGTGCTCTTCGTTTTTGAACTTGAAGCCAAAATACAACATATTTCCACTAGAACAGTGATTGGTGGACCAAAATCATTGTACACCATGGGTAAGCTCAGGACATTGTCCTATAGTTCTATTTTCAGTCCTGTGGGACTAAGCAGCCTTTGTGTATACAAGTGAGTTTGTATTCAGCTCTGTTTGTGTTATTATTCTTATTGTTCATCAATTATAAATAATTAATTACTGTTAATTATGTGTAGAGGGGCATAGAATTACATATAGAATGCGTTTAACATTTTATATATTTAAGAGGATCTCTGTCTAGATGGGTACCTGGGTACTGCTGTCGGAGTCACTCTGCAGGCGAGCCAGGCTCTGTCTGTCTGAGCTGCAGGTCTGGGAGGACTGGTATGGGGAGAAAACAGGTCAATAAAACCCTGGAACAATGCTATCCATACAAAATACTAATGTGAACAAGTATTACTGTAGGCCTGTATGTAATGATATGTAACTGTCGTAAAGTCAGTGTATTATTGGTGCCTCAAATTAACATTACACGATATGCTTTGTAGTTTCATATTATTGAGGCGTTGGAGATCTAACATGTTGGTCAAGACAACACGTTGGTCTCCCGGGTATCCTGTGTGCCACGAGACTATGTGTGCGCGTGGGCAGGCGGGCGTGTGTGTGTCACCTCATTGCTGACGCTCGAGTCACGGTGCATCATCCTCTGCACAGTGCTTGGATTATCCACACTGGCCGAGACGGACGAGCATTTAGCCAGCGCCGCTGCGTGCTGCTCCTTCTCCCGCTGACGCACGATGGCCTCGCAGCCCAGCCACTCGCTCATGGTCTGCTCGTAGCACGCCCGCACCTGCTCATCCACCTGCACAGTGTCACAGAGCAAGGGTCAGGGTTCAGAGATCAAGGGGTTTGGTGGTGACCTCGGATGGCAAGGGTGACACCAACCTCTTTCCTGTCAGCCTCAGACATGCCAAACTGGTAGTGGCCCAGGAGGAAGGGCCACACCTCCTTACGCAGCGAAGGGTCAACACCACCGAAGTAGACCAGGCGCAACAGCTCCTGCTCCTTATAGGCCTGGAGAACAGGGAGGGAGAGCAGGGAGGGGGAGCAGGGAAGGAGAACAGGGAAGGAGAACAGGGAGGGAGAGCAGGGAAGGAGAACAGGGAGGGAGAGCAGGGAGGGAGAACAGGGAAGGAGAACAGGGAAGGAGAACAGGGAGGGAGAGCAGGGAGGGAGAACAGGGAGGGAGAGCAGGGAGGGAGAACAGGGAAGGAGAGCAGGGAGGGAGAACAGGGAAGGAGAACAGGGAGGGAGAACAGGGAGGGAGAACAGGGAGGGAGAACAGGGAGGGAGAGCAGGGAGGGAGAACAGGGAAGGAGAACAGGGAGGGAGAGCAGGGAGGGAGAGCAGGGAAGGAGAACAGGGAAGGAGAACAGGGAGGGAGAACAGGGAGGGAGAGCAGACAGGGAAGGAGAACAGGGAGGGAGAACAGGGAATGAGAACAAGGAGGGAGAGCAGGGAAGGAGAACAGGGAAGGAGAACAGGGAAGGAGAACAGGGAGGGAGAGCAGGGAGGGAGAGCAGGGAAGGAGAACAGGGAAGGAGAACAGGGAGGGAGAACAGGGAGGGAGAGCAGACAGGGAAGGAGAACAGGGAAGGAGAACAGGGAAGGAGAACAGGGAGTGAGAACAGGGAGGGAGAGCAGACAGGGAAGGAGAACAGGGAGGGAGAACAGGGAATGAGAACAGGGAGGGAGAGCAGGGAAGGAGAACAGGGAAGGAGAACAGGGAGGGAGAGCAGGGAAGGAGAGCAGGGAGGGAGAACAGGAAAGGAGAACAGGGAGGGAGAACAGGGAGGGAAAACAGGGAGGGAGAGCAGGGAGGGAGAACAGGGAGGGAGAGCAGGGAGGGAGAACAGGGAGGGAGAGCAGGGAGGGAGAGCAGGGAGGGAGCGCAGGGAAGGAGAACAGGGAAGGAGAACAGTAAGGGAGAACAGGGAGGGAGAGCAGACACAGAAGGAGAACAGGGAGGGAGAACAGGGAATGAGAACAGGGAGGGAGAGCAGGGAAGGAGAACAGGGAAGGAGAACAGGGAGGGAGAGCAGGGAGGGAGAACAGGGAGGGAGAACAGGGAAGGAGAACAGGGAAGGAGAACAGGGAGGGAGAACAGGGAGGGAGAGCAGGGAAGGAGAACAGGGAGGGAGAACAGGGAAGGAGAACAGGGAAGGAGAACAGGGAGGGAGAACAGGGAGGGAGAGCAGGGAAGGAGAACAGGGAGGGAGAGCAGGGAAGGAGAACAGGGAAGGAGAACAGGGAGGGAGAGCAGGGAGGGAGAACAGGGAAGGAGAACAGGGAGGGAGAACAGGGAGGGAGAGCAGGGAAGGAGAGCAGGGAGGGAGAGGCCTCAGTCATTGAGCCGCAACACATTCAGTTACTAGTTTTGAACGTTTGATCAAGCCTGTCTGGCGTGCCAAAGGTCTGAACATACTGTACAGTACACACACGATGACATACCCACACATGAATACACTAATGTTACCATAGACACTGGCACATAAAAACAAGAACATATACGTGTATAAAAATCAAAAGAAGAGGCCAGTGTCTTATCTAGATACAGTGCCATGCAAAGTATTCATCCCCCTTGGCGTTTTTCCTATTTTGTTGCATTACAACCTGTAATTTAAATGGATTTTTATTTGGATTTCATGTAATGGACATACACAAAATAGTCCAAATTGGTGAAGTCAAATGAAAAAAATAACTTGTTTCAAAAAATTCGAAACAATAATTTACGGAAAAGTGGTGCGTGCATATGTATTCACCCCCTTTGCTATGAAGCCCCTAAATAAGATCTGGTGCAACCAATTACCTTCAGAAGTCACATAATGAGTTAAATAAAGTCCACCTGTGTGCAATCTAAGTGTCACATGATCTGTCACATGATCTCAGTATATATACACCTGTTCTGAAAGGCCCCAGAGTCTGCAACACCACTAAGCAAGGGGCATCACCAAGCAAGCGGCACCATGAAGACCAAGGAGCTCTCCAAACAGGTCAGGGACAAAGTTGTGGAGAAGTACAGATCAGGGTTGTATTATAAAAAAAATATCTGAAACTTTGAACATCCCACGGAGCACCATTAAATCCATTATAAAAAAAATTGAAAGAATATGGCACCACAACAAACCTGCCAAGAGAGGGCCGCCCACCAAAACTCACAGACCAGGCAAGGAGGGCATTAATCAGAGAGGCAACAAAGACACCAAAGATAACCCTGAAGGAGCTGCAAAGCTCCACAGCGGAGATTGGAGAATCTGTCCATAGGACCACTTTAAGCCGTACACTCCACAGAGCTGGGCTTTACGGAAGAGTGGCCAGAAAAGAGCCATTGCTTAAAGAGAAAAATAAGCAAACACGTTTGGTGTTCGCCAAAAGGCATGTGGGAGACTCCCCAAACATTTGGAAGAAGGTACTCTGGTCAGATGAGACTGAAATTTAGCTTTTTGGCCATCAAGGAAAACGCTATGTCTGGCGCAAACCCAACACCTCTCATCACCCCGAGAACACCATCCCCACAGTGACGCATGGTGGTGGCAGCATCATGCTGTGGGGATGTTTTTCATCGGCAGGGACTGGGAAACTGGTCAGAATTGAAGGAATGATGGATGGCGCTAAATAAAGGGAAATTCTTGAGGGAAACCTGTTTCAGTCTTCCAGAGATTTGACACTGGGACGGAGGTTCACCTTCCAGCAGGACAATGACCCTAAGCATACTGCTAAAGCAACACTTGAGTGGTTTAAGGGGAAACATTTAAATGTCTTGGAATGGCCTAGTCAAAGCCCAGACCTCAATCCAATTGAGAATATGTGGTACAGTGGGGAAAAGAAGTATTTAGTCAGCCACCAATTGTGCAAGTTCTCCCACTTAAAAAGATGAGAGAGGCCTGTAATTTTCATCATAGGTACACGTCAACTATGACAGACAAATTGAGGAAAAAAAATCCAGAAAATCACATTCTAGGATTTTTAATGAATTTATTTGCAAATTATGGTGGAAAATAAGTATTTGGTCACCTACAAACAAGCAAGATTTCTGGCTCTCACAGACCTGTAACTTCTTCTTTAAGAGGCTCCTCTGTCCTCCACTCGTTACCTATATTAATGGCACCTGTTTGAACTTGTTATCAGTATAAAAGACACCTGTCCACAACCTCAAACAGTCACACTCCAAACTCCACTATGGCCAAGACCAAAGAGCTGTCAAAGGACACCAGAAACAAAATTGTAGACCTGCACCAGGCTGGGAAGACTGAACCTGCAATAGGTAAGCAGCTTGGTATGAAGAAATCAACTGTGGGAGCAATTATTAGGAAATGGAAGACATACAAGACCACTGATAATCTCCCTCGATCTGGGGCTCCACGCAAGATCTCACCCCGTGGGGTCAAAATTATCACAAGAACGGTGAGCAAAAATCCCAGAACCACACGGGGGGACCTAGTGAATGACCTGCAGAGAGCTGGGACCAAAGTAACAAAGCCTACCATCAGTAACACACTACGCCGCCAGGGACTCAAATCCTGCAGTGCCAGACGTGTGCCCCTGCTTAAGCCAGTACATGTCCAGGCCCGTCTGAAGTTTGCTAGAGTGCATTTGGATGATCCAGAAGAGGATTGGGAGAATGTCATATGGTCAGATGAAACCAAAATAGAACTTTTTGGTAAAAACTCAACTCGTTGTGTTTGGAGGACAAAGAATGCTGAGTTGCATCCAAAGAACACTATACCTACTGTGAAGCATGGGGGTGGAAACATCATGCTTTGGGGCTGTTTTTCTGCAAAGGGACCAGGACGACTGATCCGTGTAAAGGAAAGAATGAATGGGGCCATGTATCGTGAGACTTTGAGTGAAAACCTCCTTCCATCAGCAAGGGCATTGAAGATGAAACGTGGCTGGGTCTTTCAGCATGACAATGATCCCAAACACACCACCCGGGCAACGAAGGAGTGGCTTCGTAAGAAGCATTTCAAGGTCCTGGAGTGGCCTAGCCAGTCTCCAGATCTCAACCCCATAGAAAATCTTTGGAGGGAGTTGAAAGTCTGTGTTGCCCAGCGACAGCCCCAAAACATCACTGCTCTAGAGGAGATCTGCATGGAGGAATGGGCCAAAATACCAGCAACAGTGTGTGAAAACCTTGTGAAGACTTACAGAAAACGTTTGACCTGTGTCATTGCCAACAAAGGGTATATAACAAAGTATTGAGAAACTTTTGTTATTGACCAAATACTTATTTTCCACCATAATTTGCAAATAAATTCATTAAAAATCCTACAATGTGATTTTCTGGAAATTTTTTTTCTCATTTTGTCTGTCATAGTTGACGTGTACCTATGATGAAAATTACAGGCCTCTCTCATCTTTTTAAGTGGGAGAACTTGCACAATTGGTGGCTGACTAAATACTTTTTTTCCCCACTGTATGACTTAAAGATTGCTGTATACCAGCAGAACCCATCCAACTTGAAGGAGCTGGAGCAGTTTTGCCTTGAAGAATGGACAAAAATCCCAGTGGCTAGATGTGCCAAGCTTATAGAGACATACCCCAAGAGACTTGCAGCTGTAATTGCTGCAAAAGGTGGCTCTACAAAGTATTGACTTTGGGGGGGGGGGGGGGGGGGGGGGGGTTATGCACGCTCAAGTTTTCTGTTTTTTTGTCTTATTTCTTGTTTGTTTCACAAAAAAATATGTTTTGCATCTTCAAAGTGGTAGGTATGTTGTGTAAATCAAATGATACAAACCCCCCAAAATCCATTTTAATTCCAGGTTGTACGGCAACAAAATAGGAAAAATGCAAAGGGGGGTGAATACTTTCGCAAGCTACTAAATTCTTCACCAGTATCCCTCCAGTAGCCCTACAAATTGCCAAAGACTCCAGCCACCCTAGTCATAGACTGTTCTCTCTGCTACCGCACGGCAAGCGGTACCGGAGCGCCAAGTCTAGGTCCAAAAGGCTTCTTAAAAGCTTCCACCCCCAAGCCATAAAAATGCTGAACAGTTAATCAAATGGCTCCCTGGACTATTTGCATTGACCACCCTTTTTTACAATGCTGCTACTCACTGTTTATTATCTATGCATAGTCACTTTACCCCTACCTACATGTACATATTACCTCAATTACCTCGACTAACCTGTACCCCCGCATATTGACTCTGTACTGGTACCCCCTGTATATAGCTTCGTTATTGTTATTTTATTGTTACTCTTTTACTTTTTACTTTATTTAGTAAATATTTTCGTAACTTTTATTGTTCTTAAAACGGCATTGTTGGTTAAGGGCTTGTAAGTAAGCATTTCACGGTAAGGTCTACATCTGTTGTATTCAGCGCATGTGACAAATAACATTTGATTTGATTTGATCAATCAACGTGCAGAATGGTTGTGTACCACTGGATGTCAGTGTGGGCCCTAATCCCCTGTTTAATAATGAATAATACTTAACTACAATTGTGAGAAAAATGTCAAGATTGACTACAGCCAGTAGAACTCTACAAACACAGATTGGACACACATGGATGAACTAGAGAGATTATGAGTCAACTGAATCCCTCCCATTGGTTGATTATTCAACAAAATCCCTCCAATGAAAATGTGTGCTGTTGTTACGCTGACTGGCAGGGCATTAGTCACGCTTGCATACGGTTGGTTGTGTGACTAAGAATGTGGGAGCAATGTGATGATTAACGGATGAATACAGATGAGTGTGTGTGTGTCTGTGTGTGTGTGCGTATCTCGTCACCAGGGGGCTTGGACTGTCTGGTACTGCACAGTGTGTGTGTGATGACTAAAGTGACAACCTTAGCGACACTGCTAATGATGTGACGGTGATGCTGCTTACGGTGCAGTCCTGAAGGAACCTCTGCCACACCTCGGCAGTGAGGCCCCCGAAGGCATCGCAGGGCGTGTCGGGCGCCACGATGGTGTGGTTGACCAGGGCCGAGAGGTGTGTACGTACGGTGGACAGGTGACGACAATAAGCCAGCCCTGGAATACAAAAACACAACCGCTATCAAATTATCCTCCTTCTGAGATTTTATGTGATAGAGTATCTAAATAAGGCGATCACACGTCTGACATTTAATTAATAGTTGGATTCTAGACTAATTGATGAGCTGTTTTAAATTAAAATCCATTGCAAATCATCAAGGGGGACAGAAGATAGAAGAGTTGTGTTCACAATCACATACAGCCATAGAACGCCCGGGAGATGATCTGATGCTTCATTTGGTCACACAGCAGCTTCAAAGGGGCTCTGCATAGGGAAACAGCACACAAGTCAAAGTGTCCTCCATACTGGCTCCACTTCCTCTTAAACATGTCCAAGACTTTCATTTTTAACCCAAACAGTCACTATTCTCCATTCACAAGAACATCTTAAAGTAACTGTCCAGTGTTCCCGATTATTTATGAAATATTACCTCAAATTAATTACAATATGAATTCAATAGATGTCCTTCATTCACAAGGACATCAAAACCGTAATTGCGTAATAAAACAGTACATTTCAAACGATGAGATAAATGCATGCACTACAACATCAACATGTAATAGTTTAAAATATTATATCTGTGCTTGATTAAGCGTGCCTATTGCAATGGAACCAATAGAAAAGTCTGGAAAGTGCGTACCCCGCCCCCCTGGCACTCCAGGCAGGCTAAAGGAAATGGCCAAAGTATTTGAAAGATTTCAAGTAGTATTTGAACCGGAGTCTGGGGATCTTGTATCCTTCTCAGGCCAGTGGGATCGGTAAAGGCCAGGGATGATGTCTGGGTAACCAGCAGTGTGTGTGTCTGTCTCTGACCTTTCATGGTTGCACCCATTAGGAGGCCCTCCGTCTGAGAAGCTGCCCTGGGTACAGGACGAGCAGGAGGACTTCCTGGTTGTGGGCTGCCACATGTTGGCCTCCTGGTCCATCAGCTCTGGGGCCACTGCACCACAGAACAACACACATACACACACACACATCCCATGGTTAGCACACAGTATGAGGTTTGAAACACATTAGACCCACGTCAAATACATAAATAAAATACTTGAAAATATTTCAGGTAGGCTTGGGCGATATACCGTTTACCGGGGTATTTCGAAATACCGAAGGTATGATTTTCAATACCATAATAATATATAAACTCAGCAAAAAAAGAAACGTCCTCAAACTGTCAACTGCGTTTATTTTCAGCAAACTTAACATGTGTAAATATTTGTATGAACATAACAAGATTCAACAACTGAGACATAAACTGAACAAGTTCCACAAACATGTGACTAACAGAAATTGAATAATGTGTCCCTGAACAAAGGGGGGGTCAAAATAAAAGTAACAGTCAGTATCTGGTGTGGCCACCAGCTGCATTAAGTACTGCAGTGCATCTCCTCCTCATGGACTGCACCAGATTTGCCAGTTCTTGCTGTGAGATGTTACCCCACTCTTCCACCAAGGCACCTGCAAGTTCTCTGACATTTCTGGGGGGAATGGCCCTAGCCCTCACCCTCCGATCCAACCGGTCCCAGACGTGCTCAATGGGATTGAGATCCGGGCTCTTCGCTGGCCATGGCAGAACACTGACATTCCTGTCTTGCAGGAAATCACGCACAGAACGAGCAGTATGACTGGTGGCATTGTCATGCTGGAGGGTCATGTCAGGATGAGCCTGCAGGAAGGGTACCACATGAGGGAGGAGGATGTCTTCCCTGTAACGCACAGCGTTGAGATTGCCTGAAATGACAACAAGCTCAGTCCGATGATGCTGTGACACACCGCCCCAGACCATGACAGACCCTCCACCTCCAAATCGATCCCACTCCAGATTACAGGCCTCGGTGTAACACTCATTCCTTCGACGATAAACGTGAATCCGACCATCACCCCTGGTGAGACAAAACCGCGACTCGCCAGTGAAGAGCACTTTTTGCCAGTCCTGTCTGGTCCAGCGACGGTGGGTTTGTGCCCATAGGCGACGTTGTTGCCGGTGATGTCTGGTGAGGACCTGCCTTACAACAGGTCTACAAGCCCTCAGTCCAGCCTCTCTCAGCCTATTGCGGACAGTCTGTGCACTGATGGAGGGATTGTACGTTCCTGGTGTAACTCGGGCAGTTGCTGTTGCCATCATGTACCTGTCCCGCAGGTGTGATGTTCGGATGTACCGATCCTGTGCAGGTGTTGTTACACGTGGTCTGCCACTGCGAGGACGATCAGCTGTCCGTCCTGTCTCCCTGTAGCGCTGTCTTAGGCGTCTCACAGTACGGACATTGCAATTTATTGCCCTGGCCACATCTGCAGTCCTCATGCCTCCTTGCAGAATGCCTAAGGCACGTTCATGCAGATGAGCAGGGACCCCGGGCATCTTTCTTTTGGTGTTTTTCAGTCAGTAGAAAGGCCTCTTTAGTGTCCTAAGTTTTCATAACTGTGACCTTAATTGCCTACCGTCTGTAAGCTGTTAGTGTCTTAATGACCGTTCCACAGGTGCATGTTCATTAATTGTTTATGGTTCATTGAACAAGCATGGGAAACAGTGTTTAAACCCTTTACAATTAAGATCTGTGAAGTTATTTGGATTTTTACGAATTATCTTTGGAAGACAGGGTCCTGAAAAAGGGACATTTCTTTTTTTGCTTTTATATCGTTTTTGGGTCTACTTCCGGTAATACCGTATACCCCGGTATGGTACAGAAACGGTATGACGGTATGAAAATCTGGATACCGCCCAACCCTAATTTGAGGCGTACTTGATTTAGCTTGGAGTTGCCATTGTACTGGGCAAACTAAATCAAGCATAGCTCAAGTATTTGAAAGTATTTGACATACAGATGTAGGATCTTAATTTGGGACAGTTTGCTACAGCAAGAAAATAATCCTGCAGAAACAGGACATTTGAATTATTATGTGGATTATAATTAATGTACAAAATCTAAAGACCATACGCACATCCAGCTACTTTTTTGCAGGTGCTGGAGATAGGTGAACTCATGAAAAATAAAAAGGAAAACGCTGCACACTGCTGTTCATGCTTCTAGGTGATTTTATTGATATGTTTTGTCCCTTAGGACTTCTTCAGGCATCCGATTATAATTAATAGACATTTTGTAGGGGTTGATAAATTTTTTGTAAGGGAAAATCAAGTCTGAAATTTTAAAGTGGAAATTACCAACTTTAGAAGTATTTTTTAAACCTCAAATACACTACCAGTTTTAAATGTCCTGCATTGCAAGAAGGTTCTTTTGCAACAGTGTAATCAAATAAAGATCCTACATCAGTATATGTATTTGACCCTGGTCTGAAACTCTGTGCTCTACTGTAACTGCACAGGTTCAAACTCCCAGCCAGAATCACATGGTCCCGTCATGATTTGGACACCTCTGGAGATAATTCTCAAGACACGATCCCAGCTGAATTAGACAGATTGGGCTAGATCTGTCACTAGATTAGAGGACGGGTTAATAACTGCCATAGAGGTGACGTTAGAGAGCAAATCAAGCACATCAACAATGACATTTGGGGAATCAAGGCATTTCAATCTGCGGAGGGTGAACAACGGTCTGTTGGCATGGTAATGAGGACACATTCTTATTGGTCTTTATGTTTCTCTATTCTCTTTGTGGGCACATGCTAACTCAAGTTCTCAGGCAAATCTTCCATTGACATCAAGGCATGATTAATACAAAATGTTTATGTTAAGTGTGTGCATCTGAAGTTAGAATTCGGCCCTAAGCGTGACAATTTGCTTGCTCAATATTTGCTTTTGCTACTACTGTAAACCACTGTGTACCTCGAAATAACGTTGTGTTTTTTCAATTGGAAGGCCAGCGGCCAGTCAATCGTCCACCGATTGTCCAAGAGGGACTGAGGTTAAGGAAAGGGGACAGAGAGCGCTTGATTAGGAGACTCATTTATAAGCTTTGCAGGAAGGAGACAGAGGGAGAGGCAGTGATTGAAGCAAAGCAAGTGGACGGACAGACAGACGGAGAAGCTGAGGTGTGGTAACGTTACAGCTGTTCCCTGTGGTGAGTTCTCCGGGACAGCTGCAGGAGCGCTTAGGGACCACCAGGGTCCCTTTGGTTGGGGGCTGTCCTCTCAGGTAGTGGGAGAAGGAGCGGGACAGGAGAGGAGCCCCCGGGGGAAGACGGGAAGGGTGGGTTATAGTCACTGGAATGGACAATGAGGACAGTTTGATTTTTTTAAAACAAAAAACATCACTCCAAGGCCACCTGAAGTGATCACACGAGGGGTCGAGGTCACTTACCAAATTCTGATTGGCTGTTGGGGAACAGGATGCGGAAGACATAGTCCGTGGCCTCGTCCTCCTCCTTATCAGACACAGAGTCCGAGGATCCCTGTGAACACCTGTTTCTCAGTTTAGGAAACACCTTCCCCTGTAATCAGAAATTAGGGGAATGTTAGAGACAGTAAATGTCAAAAAAAAAAATCTAAAATGATTAACAGCATTCTTTGTTAATTAAGACATTTTTTAAATGACGATTTTGATCGCACAGGGTCTTTAAATAACCTAGATTTGTAAAACATCCACACTTTCACCAAACAGAAGGACTGCTTATATAAGCCATACGTAATAAGCTCTGGCTTAAAGCAGCCTTGTGTGGGTGGTTTTCATGATTTATTCTGCCCAGTAGAAATTATATAGGCTTTAAGCAGTCTAACACATGTACTAACACACGTACATGGAGCCATAATAACTCAAGATTTGTCAAACAATGTAATAATCAAATGAAATAGGGATGACCTTTCCCCTCTGGGACCAGAGCGGAGGGTCCAGCTGGCCGTGGGGCAGGAGGCCGTTCTCCAGGCAGGAGAGGAACTGGAGCAAGTGCCCCCCTCTGGGGAAGCGCAGCGGGGGTCTCTGGATGCCGTCCTGGCTCACCAGCACCACCGTGCCCCCACTGTCCACTGCAGAGAAAATGTTATACCTTTTATGGACCTTTTAAATGTCTTATTACAGCATTTTTGGTAAAAATCAAAAATGATATTAACAACTCTGTAAATGAACCAGAACTCGCTGTTGTTGATAGCAGTAGCTAGCAGTTGAGCACCATACAAGATGCGCCGATTACAATCCAGACATTACAATGAGCCTGTCCTCCCAATGTCTCCCTCCACTAGCCTCCGTTGGTGGACCTACCCTGCTGATGACAGTGCAAATAAACAATCTCCTCCAGACGGATGGTCATAGCATAGTCCCAGTACACACTGAAAGAGATGGAATCAAAGCCGGAGTTATTGAGACATTACTCACCTTGTCACACTGAGTTAAACAACAAAGATGGCCATAGGGATATGTGTGTTGTATGTCTCTCTGAATACAATCTGTGTAACTGAACGTAGAAACGATTTAAGTTGGGGTTCAGTATTTTGCATAAGTAGGTAGAGTGTTTGCTGTTCCCAAAAGTGCTCTTTAATAAAAGCTTAAGCGATACACAGCAGACAACTCTACGGGCTAAGAACCAGTCACTAAAATTATATGACTGGTTGCCTTGAAGTATGCAAGAACATGTCCCCTGCTGTCCCTAAAAACAACCCTCATCATACTCCCCTCTCCAGAGTTGACCTCAGGACACAGAGACCTCCTGAGTAACACTCAGACAGACACGCTACATGATTCAGTCACACTGAACCGCTGCACCAACTGTAGACATCAACTTAAACACACAGGTTGTGTATGGTGTTCCTATAAACATTCATCACCCTGTTGTGCCATCTTGATGTACATAAGTGAGAGATATGATCATTAGTGAATTGCTCTCCACACCTGTGCTCATAGTCCAGGTCTCCCACAGCGCCATTCATCAGCTGATTGGGCGTCCACTTCAGTGTCATGATGTCAGCAGTCTGGTGGAGAGAGAGGTATCCTGGGATAGCCTCCATGTCATCCCTCTGTAATGCCAAGACGGATATTAGTTTGAGGATCTGTTTTCTAATTAAGTGATAATGCCCGAGAAGCCGGTGTTTGTTGGATAGACAAACCGTGCCAATATATCCAACAAACACCGGCTTCGAGGGCATTATCACTTTTACACAATGGGTTACCAACATATTCAAATAATGATTGACATATTTTCATTAAAAACGTTATTTTGATGAATTTATTTGTACTATTTCTTCCTTCCACAAGATATAGTCCTGACACAAATATAGGGTTGCTAGAGAGTCGTTCGTCCTTTTTGTTCTGTATCTACCGAGGCGACCAAGTCGTTCAGTCTTTTTATTCTGTATCTATAGACGCGACCCAGCCGTTCAGTCTTTTTGTTCTGTATCTATAGACGTGACCCAGTCGTTCAGTCTTTTTGTTCTGTATCTATAGACGCCACCCAGTCGTTCAGTCTTTTTGTTCTGTATCTATAGACGCGACCCAGTCGTTCAGTCTTTTTGTTCTGTATCTATAGACGCGACCCAGTCTTTCAGTCTTTTTGTTCTGTATCTATAGACGCGACCCAGTCGTTCAGTCTTTTTGTTCTGTATCTATAGACGCGACCCAGTCGTTCAGTCTTTTTGTTCTGTATCTATAGACGCGACCCAGTTGTTCAGTCTTTTTGTTCTGTATCTATAGACGAGATCCAGCTGTTCAGTCTTTTTGTTCTGTATCTATAGACGCGACCCAGCCGTCGTTCTAAATGTTCCATTGCCATACTGGCTGGCAGCATTCGTATCCCTTGCTAGCTAGCCAACTACGGCTAATTTACAGTCAAGTCAAAAATAACAAGAATAACGCAAGAATAACAGCAAAGTAGCTTCATTTGTATTTGTTTAAGCTGTTTTTTAGTGACATTCATTTGAATACATCCATAACAATGAGCTAATGAGGCGCGATTTCGCCTGGCATAGAGAATGTGCTTACTCGTCAGGACAATATTGTTCAGAGGAGCTAGCCAACAACACAGCTACAGTAACACAATCACTTCAAACTGAAGCTGGAAAGACTGCAAATTAGCCGCGTTTCGTTTGACCATTTTTCAATGTAAAATTTGTTTTTATATATCCATAAAAATGATGCAAGCTGGTTCATGATTTCGACCGGCTGTGAAACGCTGCCTGCCTTTCTGTCTCGTCCCGACACGTTCAATACTATGGGACAGCAGGAGATCGAATTTGAATATTGAACCATCATACTTATCATACATACATTTTGCATATAATAAATTTAGCTTGGATTGAATATCTCTTGATTATGTTTTCTCTTATTCCAATACCAGATTTGAATTACGCAATTTCTAACAATTGGTGACCCCGACGTGATCTGGTAGCGGAACTTCGCTGGAATTCACCCAGCCGATTGGACATTGCTGTCGTCGAACTGTGTGTTTCACAAAGTGCCCGGGCTTCTAAAAACACAGGTAAGCAGACACCTATTGTTATATAACTAAAGTTCTGCATATTGGCTTTATCCAAATTAATTTTGTGAAGCACCTGTTTGATGTAAGTGAATCCTATTGTACTATAAATAACGATTACAGTATACTATTTCGATTTCATAATATACTATGCAAATGTTTGATAATTCTGATGGTTAAACCCATGGAATAGTAGAGGTGGCTGTGTGCCCCATAGTAGAGGTGGCTGTGTGCCCCATAGTAGAGGTGGCTGTGTGCCCCATAGTAGAGGTGGCTGTGTGCCCCATAGTAGAGGTGGCTGTGTGCCCCATAGTAGAGGTGGCTGTGTGCCCCATAGTAGAGGTGGCTGTGTGCCCCATAGTAGAGGTGGCTGTGTGCCCCATAGTAGAGGTGGCTGTGTGCCCCATAGTAGAGGAGGCTGTGTGCCCCATTGTATACCTTTGTTATCTGTGTGTCCTAACAAACTTTAGTTGTGTGACAAAGAATTACGATTGTGTGTCGAGTGTAAGTGTGTCATTTATGACTGTGTGACATATTTGACTGTGTGATAGGATTATGACTGTGTATTGTGAGTGAGTGTGATAACTGTGTACTATTTTTGCTGTGTGATAACTGTATACTACGTTTAACTGTGTAATAACTGTGTACCATTTTGGCTGAGAATACAAACAATATTTTAAAACAGTAAATAATGAGAATTAAATAATTCTCATTATAAGTAAATAATGAGAATAATGGAAATAAAGTTTAAATTGTGCAAAAGTTAACAAAAGACACCCATAGGAGGTACTTTAAATAAATAGGCAGTGCGACGCTATGGCACATATCAGTTCAGACTAGATATGACTAGGTTCAAAGGAGACACTTAAAATTCTTTAAGACAGGGGTGATGTATGTATGAGAGTGTGAATGATAAACCTGTATACCTTGATAGAAAACTAATTGGGAATCAAAGACGTCTGTGCCTGTCCAAACTGTATAATTTGGGGATAACTGTTGGGTTTGTGGTTGCTTAAAACCGTATAACCCGTTATTGATGTTTGACATAGCATAATACTGGTTTTGAATAGTTGTGTTGAAGCAATTCGGTTTATTATTTGATTTAATGTTTGATGTTTGACATAGCATAATACTGGTTTTAGGTGCTTGGGTTGAGGCTTTTTGGTTGATTATTTGATGTAACGTTTGATGTTTGACCCTGCAAAATACTGGTTAAACAATTAGACTGAAATAATTTGGTTTATCGTTGAAATATAAACATGCACCAACTTTAACTAATTAGGTGGGAATGATTTGATTTAAATAAATAGACTAAAGTACCTTAAATAACGACAGAATATTGGAAACACTAACACGAAACACAGCTCCTCAAAATAGCCTACTCCCAGAGGAGAGGAAGGAAGAGAGAGTTGCGAGGGGAGGGGCTGGAGAGAGCGAAAGTGTGGCTTTTGGAGCCAGGAAAGACTGGGAGTTGGCTGGGAACACCACGGGGTGATTATTTGAGAGGTGCCTGTGGGTTTCTGACGATGGATATTCTGAACTTGCTCACCCGAACGTAGACGTACGTCATGGGTGGGAAAGTAGAGAATATTTACATTTGCATTTTTGGTAATTTGGCAGACGCTCTTGTCCAGAGCGACTTGCAGGAGCGATTGGGGTTGAGTGCCTTGCTCGAGGGCACATCGGCAGATTTTTCGCCTGGTCGGCTTAGGGATTGGAACCGGCGACCTCTCGGTTGTTGGCGCGGCGCTATTGATCACTAAGCTGCCTGCCGCCCCATATGAGTTTAAGGTTGTGGCGTTGTTTGATCATGTGATAAGGTTTAATGGGTAATCGGACCATAACTAATGTGGTTATGGAAGTAATGTATAGGTAGGGGAGAGCCAATAGGGGGCTCCATTGAACTATTATGGTTTATTTGGCATTTCAATGGCATAAGGGGAAATCTGTATGCATGAGGGGAATTCGATTATGTATTATTATAGTATTATGGACACTCCGTAATAAATAAACTGAACCAAACAAGATGTTACTACAGCAATAGAGAATGGTTAATGTTGTTACGTTTCTTAAACCCGATGATAGAGGTAAATGCAGAACGCTGTTAGAGAGTGTGTTTTATTTTTGCTACTAGGGTGTTTGAGACGGAAGGGCTGGCTAGACGGGGGGTGATGACGTGGCTGGTTGTGCGACATGAAAGTATTTACTTTGAGAGAATCGCAGATGGTGTGGAGTGACTGGCTTTGTATCTAAAGGTCCCTGGTTCGAACACAGGTAGGGACAGTAGGCAAAGCTTTCGCAGTGGGGCTATATACCTAGATTACTATGTGGATTGAGAAATGTGAAAGGTTGAATTAGATAGCTTAAATAGAAGTATTCTAGAAAGGTCTATGAAAATATGTTATAAGGTCACTATGCGCTTTCCCCGAAGGAGCAAGGGGAGGGTGAGAGATAGTTCAAATGTTAGGAACATCATTAAATGTATGCTTATCAACGATAGCAAGTATTTGTTTTATTAATTATGGCCTAATCAGAGAGAACAGTTAAAGAAATGTAATAGCGAACTGAAATGGGTTAGCGGGAAAATATAAATTGTTGGTACATTTTAAAACGATAATTTATTTTGGTTACGGGGATGCAAGTGGCATTGGCTGTTGTGCTGGGGGAATAGCGCCAGCCTGTGGTGGGTTCTGGATCTTTGGTGAAGCAGGGGGGACAGGAACAATAGAAGGGGAGACAGATTTTCCTAGGGGGTTGAACAAATAATTGATAATGGATCATTTGAGATGAGATCACATGTAGCAGAGTTAGGGTAATCAATTAAATAATCATTGTATACTCGAGGAATTTTGAGTGGTTTTATGGATTAGTTATGAGGAATTAGATTGATACAAACAATTATTGATGGGTTAAGACTGGGGATATCTGTATCATGTTTTGTGTGTACTACCATCTTTAGATTATAACCAGGAGAAAGAGATTAGCTCATCTCAGTTAGGCAGTATTTAGGTCATAAAAGTGAGCTACCAAATTAAGTGAGGCCTGGCTATTTGTGGTTGTTGTTTTTCAAATTGGGTTTTTCAAACAAAAAAAAACACACCTAGTATGATGTTTATAAAGCCTTGTTGTTTCAATTTTGGGGGGTTTTCAGCAGGTCAAGGGTGATAGGTCTTAGAGGAGCACACACAGTGAATTTTATGGAGTTTTTTAGGTTTTGGCTGAGTTTTGGGTATATATGATTTCTTATGAGAATGAATGTCATGAGGACTTAATGAAAAAGTGTGAAGAAGATTATAATTTGGTAATAATATATATGATTTGAACCACTAAATAATAGAAGAGAGAGTGGAGGGATGGCAATTGGATAATGAATTACCAATATTACCTAAGTGATTGTTTAGGTAGGTGGTAATATTGACACATGGGCAAATCATGTGTCAAATGGGGGATGGATGGTATGGTAGGAGATGGTAGGATTAAATAATAAAT